ACTTGTCCTTGACTATAGTAACCATCTGGTCCCAAGTCAATGCATCCCTCTCAGCACGAGGATGGAGCCTCCAATAGTCATTCCACCAAGTCCTAGCATCTCCGGTCATCCCGAACGAGGCACAACGGATTTTCACCTCATCAGTGGTGAACAATAGATCAAAGATACTCTCCAGCTGAAGCCATTCAGCCACAGCTTCGGGGCCCTCAACTCCGCTGAAGGCCGGAGGATGCATGTTACGGAAATCGATCACAGCTTGGGTAATGGGATCTCTACCCGGAGCATGCTGATGAGGAGGAGGAGGAGGCGGGGGAGGTGGTTGCTGCTGATAGTTATTGCGGGTTTGACGAGCCATTTCACTACATTGAAAAATGAGCCGCAAAGATTTAGCACAAAATAAAAGAAGTCTAGAGTTCGACCCTAGAGTTCACATTTTAAAGGTGGATAAAACCTAACCCCAAATATTAGCATTACATCACTCAAGTATTTACCAATACTTATTTAAAACATACCTTAAGCAGTGCGGCATGACGAAGACGAGTGGTCAACACACAAGATCAATTCACACAATCACTTAATCACATATAAACCAGTCTACAGAAACGCAGACTGGCTCTGATACCAAACTGTAACGCCCCAAAGATTTTTAAAGACAATTCCCGACTTATCCAAAAATCTTGTTTTAAAATTTTCGAAAACCATTTATCGATTCATAAAACATTTGGCGTTACTTGAGAACTTTCCAAAGTTAAACACATAATCAGCATAAGGGAAATGAGAATATTCAACATAATTCAAGTTCGAAGACTAGATTTCACATATCTAGCAATAGGATTGTCAACATAATCCAAACTGATAAAAATATTTCACATGGTTCAATAGTTCAACCAATCCCGAAAGCAACAGGGATAAATAACAAAGTCTGATAATCTCAACATAAATATCAAAGCAAGCGGAAGCAATATAAAGCAATAATAATGTTTGACCACCCACTCGTCTTCAGTCTCGTCATGCCCAACACGTGCTTAACCTGCATCAATGAAGAGCAGGTGGGGATGAGCACAAATATAAACGAGGTGCTCACCACTATGCATAATATATTGGTAAGAAGCCTATACTGGAGTCATATGCAAGTACATGGTCAAAAGACATAATACACCACTCTCCTACTCATCACTATACTCATGTGCACACCTATCAAAAGCCGCCAGGGGTAAGCCCAAACTCGTCAGCGGGAGTATAGTCGTGTCGAGGTTCAACAACAACGGTCACGGACCATCAACTAGGCTAAAATGAGTCTACCTATCACAAGGTTGGAGATCACCCACCACTAGGCACCGTCTCATGACTCACACATACATTCATAGAACACAAAGTGTAAAAATTTTACCTCAAATATAGCATAGCAAATTTTAGATTAAAACCCACCTGGATAGCTCGGTAGGAAAATTGCACACAAGAGCAAGTACGTAGGATGAGGATCGACTCCTCAAATACCTACATTTAAGCGAGATAATTTATCAATAATTTATCTCACTACTCGAATTCAACATAAAACCCATACTAATAAAAATTAAGTCTTAAGGGTTTTAATGGGATTTTTCGTGGACTTGGAACTCTCTCATTTTTGCAAAATAGGACTCGGAAAAATAATTTGGTGTCTCAGGACTTATAAATATTTTTCTCAAATTTTCTCATTTTCAAAATATTTTTTTAAAATTTAAATCGGTATTAAAAACGGGCTCCAGAACACAAAATAGGACTAAAAAGAACGAATTGGACCGAAACTGTTAAGTATTTTGGGATTAACAATGTGGCTGCAGGTCGCGGGCCTGCTGGGCTTACGCGCGGGCCGAAACTGAGGGCAGGCGCGGGCTGAAGCGGGCCTTATGGCCCACTAGGGCTGGCACTCAAAGGAAATAAAAAAAAGAGGCTATAACTTACACAAGGAGATGGTTTCGAACCCACGACCTCGCGCAGGGAAACAAGCGTGTATGCCACTGCACTAGAGCCTGTATGCGAATTTTTAACGAATTCGTTTTCACTTAAAATAAAACAAACGTCTGCGATTTATACAAAAGAACAGAGCTGCAAAATTGGGAGCAGACTGACAGCAACTTTTTGAATTCGACAATGACAATACTAATGGCAACCGGGTCGAGAATATAAAAACGTCTACAAAGTAACCCATTTACAAAGTTTCGAAAACCATTTAAAATCGGGTCTAAAGGGTCGAAAGTTGAAACGACAATAAGTAGTTCGAAAACTAACAAATGACACAACGACGACAACAAGGCTCGAAACAATAAAACGAGACTTTGAAACACAACATATTTATCACAGCAACATCATGAACCGATTTCTCACAAAATGAGAGTTCCGATTTACCCCGAAATTCACGAACATACGAACTAAATAACGAATACGAACCGATGAATAAATAAAACTTTAAAACCAACTAAACGATTCAACGAACAAAAGAAAATGATTGCTATAATTCTGAACAGCAATAACCGAGGGGGTTTCAAAAGGTTACCGTCTTCGGGAATATACGAATTATCGGAAAATCGGATCGAACGAACGGACTTTGAAAATTCAAACGGGACTCGGGCTGCAACTCCAACGAACAAGACCCGGTGTGATCGCTCGCGAATGGAAGACGACGCTGACCTCACTAATGGCCGGCGAAAATGATTGCCGGAGGTCCGGACGCGCGGGGAGGAAGCTGGCTGCCGGAAGTTAAAACGCTCTGCTATGGAGGACGGCGACTGGACAGGACCCTTGTCTGACAGCGGCGCACCTTGTTGTTCGACAATGGACGGCTGCCACTTCAATAACGGCGGTCGAGGGAGGTTCTGCTGGATGGCTCGCCGGAGAAGAAAGGTGCAGGCGGCGATTTTTTATTTTTTTTTAAAAGCAGCAGAGAGATTGAGGGAGAGATAGAGCTTGGAGATGACTTCTCTGCTGATATTTAATGGGACGAGGGAGAGATAGGAGGAGAACGTGCGTGAAGATTTTGCCCAAAAATCGCAGCAGATTTAATCCAACGAGGAAGACTCGGTCGCGAAGAGAGAAGAAGGGAAAAAATATATCCCACCGGAAATTGAAAGAGAACAATTAATATGGGCTCAATTAAAATGGACCCAACATTTTTAATCTCTAAGTGGATCAAGGATTTGAAATTGGGCCAAAAATACTTAAGCACCAAAAGGGCCGACTATATGGAGCTCTTTTGGAT